CCAGACGCACCGCGAAGAGCGCCCCGCTGCTCGCTGATCCGCGCCCGGCCGGCCTCGTGCGCACCTCGCCTCCGCCCGCCCAGCTACCTTTCCTCCCCTCCGCAACTCGCCGGCTCCGTCTGGCGCGCGCGGGAGCTCTTCTTATAGCCCTGGCCCACGTGACGCCGCGCGCCCCGCCCCGTCTGCGGCTGGTGGCGGGGGGGGCGGCTCCGGGCGGAAGGCGCGGGGGCGCTCTTCCTGCCCGGGCAGCGCGGCAAGGCCGCGGGGAAAGGATGCGGTCGCTTCCCCGGCGCCCTGCCTGGCAAGGGGGAGGCGCGGGCCGAAGCCGCCCTCAGCGGGCACGGCTCCCTGGGCACCAGCGGGCTGCAGGCACGGCCCCCTCGGCCGGGGCAGCGTCGGCCTCTCCCGGGCCCCTGGAGTCGCCGGGGGGCTCAGGCGGCCCCTTGGCGGGCCGCCAGCGCATCTACCCCGGATACCAAAGCCCGGAATTTGGATCTGGGTAGCCTCGAGATCCCACCTCCCTGGCCGAGCGCCGCGGCTCCCGTTCTCTTCGTCCAACCTAGATCACCCAATCTGCCGGCTCGGCTCCCCGGAGCTTTTGGCCACTTCGCGACACGGCAGCCGGTACGTTTTGTCTTAACTTTCGAGCTGCAGGAGGCTTGTTGGTCTTCATTTGTAACTTTTGCATCCAGTTTTCTATTCTACAAAGTGAAGCAAACGCTGCCAAGTTTCTTCCGATAGCTGTGGTTTACAAAAGCTAAGGGATATATATTTTCCTGGTTAATTGTCTTAAGGTTTCTTTTGTTTAAGTTATATATTAGTGCTTTTCTTGTGTTTCTGTAGTTTAAAACTAAATTATGTATTTGGTCTGAGACTGTAATAAAGAAAAAATTGGAACTGAATCAGAAATAAACCAATGATTGTTTGTTTATATCCCACCTTTATTATGGCCCAGATATGGCCTGGTTGCCATCTGGGCACATAGAGTTACAGAAGGCTTGCCCATTTGTAAGTTTTGAAAGCAAATGATAGAGAAGAATTTTGTAAATTACCTGTCTAAATTTTTAGATTACTAAGGTGGTTTTGGCGCTGTAAGCCAGACAAAGAAAAGGGTCCCAAAGAAAGCAACTGCACTCACATTTCTATTCAAAAAACTACATGTACCTGTCCATGAAGTCACCAAGTCTAATTTAATTCAAGGGAATCCCCTCCCCCTCCCCATGATGCCATGCACTTTTCAACAGATCTAGAGCAGTGGTTCTCAACCTTTTTAATGCCGCGATTCCCCAACCGGTCGTAAGTTGAGGACTACTCAACCGGTCGTAAGTCGAGAACTACTCAACTGGTGTAGCACCGTTTGCAGAATGGGACTTTTGGCGGGCTCAGCAGGGCAGAGACAGCCTGGACAGTTCCTATTGGCTTTTGAAAGCCAATAGAATTAGACTCTATTCAAGAGAGTCCTATTCTATTGGCTTTCAAAAGCCAATAGAATAAAAGGGAGTAGCACAGCTAAGGAAAAGGGAGAAAAAATGGCGGACTGCGTTGTTTGGCAACCCCCGTGAAATGGTCGTTCGACCCCAAATGGGGTCCCGACCCAGAGGTTGAGAACCACTGCTCTAGAGGCTGAGAGAGAACAGAAGATCCTTCTCCCTCCCTGCTGCTAGATCCAGATTGGTCTATATAGTTCTGCAGAGCTGCCCTGGTCTACCAAATGCCTCCATGTATTCTCCAGGCACAGGTCTGCAAGAACGTTATTAGAATGGCACACTAGGCTTGGCAAAGGTGGTCCACCAAAGATTTACAAAAGAGCCTTTGTCTAAGCATGAAGTGCTTGGTTTGATTCTGCACCGTTCTCAAGATGTGTTAACTGTGATTATGGGGAATATTTATTATGAAATGACTTTATCCTTTACAAGCCAGCATATAAAACTTAGTGTTGCAACAGGAGCTGAGAGCAGTTCCAGAGCAGTTTGGGCCATGCTTGAATTTCAGTAATCAAACCCTTGGAAGTAGGGAAAGAAATAAGGCTCCATTTTCGTACCCTTAAACATACTTGAGGTTCAATTTACCAGAGTAAAGGTCTATCTGCAACACTGACTTGAGTACTAATATGCTCATTTTACCAATCTCAGAAGGATGGAAGATTGAGTCAACCCTGAGCCACTCAGAATTGAACTCCTGGATTGAGCAGTGAGTTAGCCTGAAGTGCTGCATTCTAACCCCTATACCACCACGGCTCTATCCCAGTAATTCTTTAAAAAATGTTGTAGAATACCAGGCCTCAGTATCATGAAATCTCATCCTTATGAAATCCAACTCAGTGCAGAGCTATTAATGCTGACTTTCAGTGTGGTGAGCCAGTTGTACATCTACCCTCATGTTGGCCACATGACCACAGATGGGTCTTTGGACAACGCTTCCTCCCTCAGCTAAGAAACGGAGCTGAGTCAGACACAATTCGAAAGGGGAAACCTTTTAAAGATCTGAACAAAAGGAAAATAGATGTAGGACACCACTAGGCTGAGCCCAAGGGCAGGGTCAAATACATCATCGGTTCCTTCCCCCCCCCCCAAGAGACCTAATCCAACCCCCTCTTGAAATCTCCTGACATATCTGGCTCTAATTTGCCTCGGCCTGTTAATAGATCAGCTTCTTGTGAATACGTGACAGGGGGGGGGGGGAAATCAATGCTTTTAAACTCTATCCAGGCTCCCCACCTGACAATAGTCTCTCCATCCCTGGATGTTTAAGAAATCACCTAACAGCCATCTCTTGAAGATGGCTTAATTGCTTTTCTTACCACAGATTGAACTAGACAATCCTTGTGATTCCTTTCGACTTCAGAGTTTTATTTTTCCCTTCAATCTATCTTTCGTTTGGGTCTGCCCTTATGCTTCCTTTTTTTCTCTTCTGCTCTGAAAGTTTCCCCTCACCTGGCAGCCAGATGTGTTCGAAGTGGGGCAGCAGAGTGCCATGACTCTGCTGTCCCCCTCGCTCACTCCAATTGCAGGAGGAGAACCTAAGAGAAGCTCCAGGGGCTGCTGAAATGCTGAGGGGCAAAGCCTAAGCCCTGCCCTGGCCGTGGTTAGTTCAGGCCTAGGGGCAAAAAGCTGCCCTACCTCATCTTCTTGTGCCATATCTGTTATCAGACGTTGTCGATAATGTTGGCAAAATGGATTCTCATGCAGAATCCATTTGTCTACCAGGCACCATATTTAAATAGACCTTGAGCTTTTTCACTGGCTGAATATTGGCACCCAGCTGTATACATGGCCAGATATTTACACATATCAGAGGGGGGGGAATGTACTTTAAATCATTTCTACTGCCAAGTTAATGGTCTCAGGACACCTGATCCAGCTATTTCCTGAGGTTAAGCAAACTTGAGGTAATGTGATAGCTCATGATGAAAGAACAGCAGTGCATGCAATGCTCCAATCCTGCTGTGCTGGGCATTTTATTGGCCTCCATGAAATAATGCAAAATAATTCTGAACAATCTATTTCACCAACTTCATTGAATTGTTACTTTTTTCCTATACAAATCCAGTGGGTTAAACCTTTTAATTTCCCGCATTGACTGCTCGAGTCTCCCAATTTCTCACCCATCCCGTCTGCTGCTCAGAAAACACCGTTTAATGCGGTTACAGAGCTAAAGGCTTTTTTTGCCTCAAGCAGGATTCTTGGTTCTCCATCATTATATTCAGATGGTTTTTCTTCTTTGCCACAGTATTTTAAGTGGTTACTCTGCCCACTCCTGGAAGGTTTTTTCAGGTTCCTATTCTACTTCACAGATATTGCTTGAATTATGACCGTAATTGAATTACAGTTTTAAGTTGAGCCAGTTGATTTGCAGATCAACACATGACCGCACCCAATTTTATCACCTTTTTTGTGGAAGTCATTAAGTGAACATAGGGGTCCTTAATTGACTCCATTGTCCACAGTGACATTTTTTTGCCAGAAACTGGAAGTAAATGCCAGTTTTCAGCAAAGATTATATAAATCACAATCACATGCAGGATGCTGCCAATGGCCGTAAACGTGAGCCATTTTCCAAGGGCTTAAAATGCAATTATGTGATGAGGGAAGGCAGCCATCGGAACTTTGAACCTATCTAAATAGCCTTTTGGGGCTTCCATCATCAGTTCAAATGGTCGCTAAGCTGAGGACTGTCATATTGCTCAGCCAATTCAGCCAAGTCCTGCTCTGCTTAGTTTTCAAGATCAGCCCAGCGTTGCCACCTAGCAGGGCCCACAGGCCACAACCTGCATGAAAACTGGAAGCCACTACCATAACTAAGTGCTCTGCAATGCTGAAGAGGGATTTGGGGAGGGATTCAATAGCCTCAAAAGCCTGACTTAGATATCTGAATCAGAATCCCATCCCTGGTCATCCAGGGTTGTGCCAGGGTTAGCTTGACTGGCAGGCAGCACCTGTGACTTTGAGTTCAGAGGACAGGGCTGTCCTTTGCTGTTAACTGGCAAGACTGAATCTGCTGCCTTTCCTGGGCTGAGCTGGTTGTTGAAAGCTGCGTCACCAGAGTCCGTTTTGTCCTCAGAAGGGAGCAGATTCCAAAGACGGGATCTACGCTTGGAGGGCAAGGCAGGAGTCCAGAAGTGCCATTAACGACCAACTCTGGCAAGATAGGAACAAGTTCAGCTCTTGAGTCAATGTTCCACCAGTCGGGTGATCTCTGACACAAGGGACACTCGATTCTCCACCATAACAACTCCCCTGTAGAGTTTGTCAATCTGTGTGGAACACTTTTGAGCATCTGGGTATGTAAAATAAGCCTAAAGCAGCACAAGCTGCAGGCGAGGGGAAGAGGCACTTGCCACTCCGTCAAAAGGTCTGGTGTTGCTGCTTCTGCATCATTTGATTTATATATAGGTACAGATGTGGGTCATATTTCCCGTTAGATATTACGCTAATATACATAAATTGGGCATTTCTCATTTATTATTCTATGGAATTTTTAATCACCCACTCAGTCCTAGACCCAGTAAGACAATCTTTATTAGATTAACTATGCAAAATTACTGAAAATTCAAATGTCAAGTGTTCTGGCAAGTTGATTATGGAAAAAATGTGGTCCTCTGATTACCACATTACCTATCTTAAGTTGCAGCAAGTCCTACCAATGATTGCTGAGAAGACACCATTTTTTTGTAAATGCTCAATTGTAAATATACCAGCTTTAGTTATTTTTCCCTAAGTATCAGACAGGTCTTCTGGGAGCTGAAACACCTCCCAATTTTGCAATAATGAAAAAGTAAGCATTATGGGAATGCAATGTGCTATAGTAGGGAAAAAAGCACTGCTTTTATCTTCTCTGCACATATTGGGAAGTACAAATTTTGAAGTAAACATGAAAAGGCTAGGATGATTAGAATGATTTTCTATTTGTGAATCTTCAGCTAATACTGAGGACTTGAGAAAATTGATCTGATATATCACATTCTACTAAAAAAAGGGGGGGGCATTCATACAGAATACTAAGCTTAGAATGTGGTATAGCAATTAAACTGTTGCATTAGAACCAAGGAAATGTAGTTTCAAGCACAGTCTTTAAGGCAGTCATTCACTTAGCTCAACTTAGGTGGTCGTTGGGAGAAATAAAGGGTCACATACCCTAACCTAGGGGGTGTTTGTGGAAGAAATGGGGTATAGACCTAATGAATGATGTCCGTTTAATATATTGTGTAAATCCACTTATTGCATGGTAAATCATTTAGCATCTTGTAGCAATGCACCCTATTGTAATGTTTTCGGTAAACAGAACCCAACCTGCCATCTGAACTAAGTGACAGTATACAATTCCATCAGTTGCTAAAGGACCAAAAGTATATATTTATTTGGGGAGAAAACTCCCCTTCCACTGAATAGAAACAGCACCAGTTGCAAACATCTATGTTCCAAAGGGGGCAGGTCTTATGCTACAAAACTGTCATCTAGTAGTGGATAAAAATATATTGGAAGGTGCAAAACTTCACGGTTGGACTATTGCAATGCCCTCTACGTGGGGCTGCCTTTGAAGACCATCTGGAAGTGACAGCTGGTTCAAAATGCAACAGTGCAAGCAATAATGGGCACACCTCATTATGCCTAGATCACTGCTACACAAGCTGCTTCCTGGCACAATTCAAAGTGTTGGTATCACCTATAAAGCCCTTTGTGCACAGGTCCTGGTATATGAGGGACTGCCTGCCTCCAGTTGCTTCTGCCTGACAGAATGGGGCAGAATAGGTGTGCCAGTCCCTTCAATTGAATGCTGCCATCTTGCAAGATTGTGGAAGGCTGCCCACCCTTTGGAACAGCCTGCCCTGGGAGTTGCATACAGCTCCCACTCTAGGTTCCCTATATCTTTGTGTTGAATGGCCTGGACAGGACAGCATGGCGAAACAAATAAATTGGTAATCACTTAAAACAAAATTAAGTCTAAAAAAAAATCTTCCTGGAAGGGAGCCAAACAGAACTTCAGACAGAAAAGAGAAACTGAGCTGTAGATTAAGGTTATGGCTTGTGCTAAGGAAGAGAAAATGAATGTCACCAATGCTGCCGCCAGTGCATGTCTTCGGCTGTTTGCTCTTCTGTACTGGGATTTAAAAATAAAGTTGTCTATGGCCCTGTGACTAACACCGAGTTACTTCCACGGATGTCACTGGCAAAACAGTTCTAAACAGCATTTAGGCATAAACCAACAAAGTAAACAGTGCACTCACTAGGAAGTGCTCCAGACACCACCACCTAGGAAAACAACTGGGCCTCTTCAGTGGCAGTTTATGAAACAGGACGGCCAGGGTGGGAAAACAGATGGCCAGTGGCCAGAAGAACAGAGGGCCACTCAGCTGCAAGGATTACATCCAGAATTTCAGCAGCCAATTTCAGTCTGCTCATGACACAACATGTAACTGAATCTGGCCTTTTTGGCCACACATTGTATTGTCATTTTATCCCAACCGGTTCACACCTGATGGAAAGAAGTATGGCCAAGGGAAATATAAATACAGTCTGGGCTAAGCCCAGTAGTATTCACTCCCACTGCCCAGTTTAGCTTCCTGGGGGCTTCTGAGCTTTGGACTCCTTTCTGAAGGGCAAAGTTAAAACCATCAGGAAGCTGGAGCTTGGCCATGTGCGTTTCTCTGCTTGCATCATTAGTTTTGTACAGTTGGCAGTGCCAGGAACCCCATGCCCCGTCTTATAAAGCAGAGTCAGAGTTCAAAGCAACAGAAGAGTTCTGAGTGGTCCCTCTTTACTGCAGCTCATCAGAAATCTCTGGCTGGAAATGGCCTGTCTGCAGCCATAACCTTTCCTTGTGAGCATTGCTTGCAACATCCTATGTCACAGGATGATCTTACAGAGTTCCTTTATACTGAATGACATCCGCTGAATCCATGAATGCTGACTCAGCAAAGTGGTACATGCTAAAATGGATTATTCACTTTGGATTAAAAAAAAAGAAAATGGTGGCAACCTTGTGCAAACCTCCGAAGATAGGTCTATTCAGTTAAGTACACACTCCTGAAGAGTGCTTTCAATGAAGTCTTGTTTCAAGTCACAGTGGTGAACCTCCACTTTACAATTACATGAAAGCTCCCTGCCCATCATTTCCAGGAAGAAAGGAAATGGCAGGATAATGCTGGGCTAGGCTGACCTCAAACAGGAGGGCACTCCAATCCGAAGGAGCTTGTGCTGGCAAAAACAGAGCCTCCCCCACGACCATTTGGAGTCTTCCTCTCCTGTCCTAGTAACAATTCAAGCTTGCCTGGGTACTATCGCAAGCCCTCTTGGCCCCAGCCTACCGGTAGTCAGTGGGTACACACCTTGTGCCAATGGAAGTGGTGGCCAAGGGGCACAACTCTTTTGCCAACCAGCTTTCAGTTGTAGGGAGTGGTACTCAGGCAAGCAAAACTACTCTCATGGTCATTTCCCCAAGGCTAGGGACCTGGTTTTCAGAATTCGAGCTCAGCTGACACACACACACACACACACCTAGCAGTAGAAGTACTTCAAAGGGAAAGAAGAGTTCCTGGAAAAACATCCTTTCACAATCTATTTATCTTCTATAAAAAAAAGCCAAATCTCCTTCAAGTCAGGCTCAATTTCTAAACAAGTCCAGGAAGAGAGATTTGCTACTTCCCTCTTTGCCCAATTCCCAGTCTGGTTTACAGCCCTGAGATTTTCTTGGTGGTTTCCTATCCAAGCGTTAACTAGGACTGGCTCTTTGGAGCTTTTTTTGAGATCAGGCAAAATCCAGCTGGTCACATTGTTTTTAGCACAAAATAAAATGGCTATGACACTTGGATAGCACTGGCCCATCATGAATTTTAGCAATTACTCAGCCCTGTTAACCATTACAACTTGAAGGAAACATGACTTGTGAGGGGAAATCATGTTTTCCTAGACTCTCACTACACAGAAAATCACCTTGAAGTTCAAGCTGCGCTTCTAGTCATGCCTGGGCTACACATAGATACGAACTGCCAGGAAATTGTTCATCCCATTTTGCAACTTCCCAATGTTGAATACTTTATCTCCAAGATGTAACTAAAGGGAAGTACATTGAACAGATTCTCTTTTTCAGAACAGAAGCAATAATTTTTCCAGGGTGCTACATATGCATTTTTGGGCCTATTTTTCCCCCAAGGGGCTTCTCAGATTGTCATTCCATTTCTATTACCCCAGGCCATTCTTCACTGGCTATCTGAATAGCTCTTTATAGGGTTTAATTGTGCACTTGGCCTGAAAAGAACCTAGCATGACCTTTGGTGCCATTTTGTCCGTCTTCACTCTGCCCTACAAGCCTGCTCTTTACAGGCTAGATTCCTTCTTATACTGAAGCACTTACCCTGCAGTCTGTGAAGAAAGAGAACACTGAGGAGGGAGAGAGGCAATGGAACAGCCATAGTCCAGCACTTTCACCTTCTGTTCAGCAGAAACTCACCCACCCCTATTTGCCCTGGCATGGCAACCTGCAACCCATTCAATGAAGCAAAGTGAAATGATTTTCCATTGCTACAGAGAGCGGTGCAGGCCAAGATTCTACAGCTAAAGAGACAAAGAACTGGGAACAGTCATAAATAGGGACAAATATTCCTTGTTTGCATTTCAGCAACTCATTTCTAATAATCAATAAGATTTCTCCTTTCTCTGGGTGTTTCCATCTATTTCCAATTTCTGGAGGAGAAGTCAATGGCTGGAAAACACCAGTCTGTTCAAGGACAAAAGAAGCAAGAATCCCACTGGGTCTAGTATGGAGCATCAATATCAACCAGGAGTCAGGAACATCTTTCTACGATAAGCTAAGCCAGGATTAGAGACATTTGTAAATTATCTTCTCAGATATGGTCTGCACCTCCATCTTAACAGGACACTTGTAGAAAAAAGAAAGCAGCACCTCTGTGTAGCCAACCAGGAAGTAAATCTTATGTGGTGGGAGATTCTGCATTAGAATGGCGCAGATTATCAAAGTGTTGGCCCGACGCTTCAGCACAATCTCATCAGCCAAACAGCCATGAAAGGTGCCAAAGAGGAACTTGCGAATGAAAATATCCTCCACTGTGCGCTCAGCTGCGTCAGTCTCACCATTCAGGTTACCTGCAGGACAAACCAAGGAAGCGAGAGCCAATTTTATTCTTCTTGTGATGCAAGAGAGGAGGCCTTAGGGCTGAGCCAGAGAAGGGTGCTCTGTGCCACAGTCGCTCCAACCGACCAGATCCAGAAAATGGCCTCACCCAGCCCATCTTCAGACATCTAATCGCAAAGACTTGCTGCAGCTGCCATTTAATGTGAAACATTAAGAAAGGGCTTTATTTTTAGAGCCTCTGAACAGCCATTTTGACCTCCAGACTGCAGCCCTGCTTTTCCCAGCATCCTCTGGGCTCCATAAATTGTAGGAGGTGGAGGGGCGGGAGCAGCTGCAGTCCAGAAGCTTCCCCCCTTCCCAGCCCCTCCCCCACTGAAAACTGCTAGATGAAGGGGATCTTTGGGGGGGCGCGAAGGGGGGTAATGAGGGAAGCCGGGCGGGAAAAGGCGGGGATTATTGTGTTGGGGGTGGGGGGGGAGATATCAGATGGAGGGAGCCCCGGTGGCCGTTTGCTCGGCCGTAGCCGCCTTCGCCTCCGAGGGCTCTGGGTTCGCGCCTGGGGTCCACAGGGCCCTCCGGGGCGTCGACCCCCCTCCTCCTGCCCCCGCCTGGCGCTCACCGGTGTGCAGGGAGAGCCAGCCCTTGCGGTGGGCGATGTGGTGGGGCGGGTGGGCCTCTTCGTACGACACCGGCTGGTTCCCCTTCCGAGGGCGGACGCGGGCCGCGTGGCACTGCAAGGGAGAGCGGGGCGCGTGGGCGAGGCGGCCTTCCGCTTCGCCCGCTCAGCCTTTCCCGGAACACCCCGCCGGCCCGCCCAGCGGCTGCGCGGCCCCTACCTTCTCCGAGACGGCGCTGCTCCGGAACCCGCGCCCGGCGCCCAGTAGCCCCCAGGCGCCCCTGAGGGCCCGCGCGGAGGCCTGCAAAGAGAGCGCGCGGTCAGGGGCGGGCACGCGCGGAGTCCCCCCCTCCCAGGGGAGCCCCTCTTCCCCCCCACCTCCTCGTCCTCCTCCTCCCGCCGCCCCCGCTCGCCTCCGCGCCGCGCCGCCCCGCCGCCGCCGCTGCCATCGCCATGGGAGCTTCCGCCGGAAGTGCCGCCGGCTGCGCCGCCCCCCCGCCCGCCAGGGGTCGCGCTTCACCGCCGCCGGTTTGGTCTGTGGCCCGCAGGGGGCGCCGCGCTTTCTCGCACTGGGGCGGATCCCGCCCGCCTGGAGGGAGCGCTGGTCTCGAGTGCTCAAATTCAGAACCGAGCCGGGAGAAACCCCGGAGCTCCTCTAGTGCCAGCCGCTGCCCAAGCAGGAGACCCCGCGCCATTGTAGACGGGCAAACGCCCGGATCTCCTTCAAAGCCATCCAGCGATGGGGGCGCCGCGAGTCATTTGCAGGTTGGATTCCCCCCTTCCCCCGTGGAGTCGCTGCATCCCGTCCTGCCCTCCTAAGATATGCAGGTGATACCACTCTAATGGCAGAAAGTGAAGAGGAACTAAAGAGCCTCTTGATGTTGGTGAAGATGGAAAGTGCAAAAGTTGGCTTGAAACTCAACATTAAGAAAACCAAAATCATGGCATCCGTCCCTCTCAATTCCTGGCAAATAGATGGGGAAGAAATGGAGGTAGTGACAGATTTTATTTTCCTAGGCTCCAAGATCACCGCAGATGGGGACTGCAGCCAAGAAATTAAAAGACGCTTGCTCCTGGGGAGGAAAGCTATGGCAAATCTAGACAGCATACTAAAAAGCAGAGACATCACCCTGCCAACAAAAGTGTGTATGGTCAAAGCCATGGTTTTCCCAATTGCAATATATGGCTGTGAAAGTTGGACCATAAGAAAGGCTGAGCGACAAAGAATTGAGGCCTTTGAACTATGGTGCTAGAGAAGACTCCTGCGAGTTCCTTGGACTGCAAGGCGTTCAAACCGGTCAGTCCTAGAAGAGATCAACCCTGACTGCTCTTTAGAAGGCCAGATCCTGAAGTTGAAACTCAAATACTTTGGCCACTTAATGAGAAGGAAGGACTCTCTGGAGAAGAGCCTAATGAGGGCAATAGAAGAAGGGGATGACAGAGAATGAGGTGGCTGGATGGAGTCACTGAAGCAGTAGGCGTGAGCTTAAATGGACTCTAGAAGATGGTAGACGACACAAAGACCTGGAGGAACATTGTCCATGGGGTCACGATGGGTTGGACATGACTTTGCAACTAACAACAATAACTCCCTGTATGTAGAGAGTGAGGAAAAGGAACCTGATGGAGATAAGCCAACTCTGTTGCCATAGTAACAAGGAATGAAACATCTTTTAAGTCCAGATCATTCAGATCAGATGCAGAAGTGGCTGATGTTGCAGATAGACCTTTACTCTGAGATAGGTTTTGGTAATGGCACACTCACAAACAGTGGAAGCAAGAAAAGAGGAGTCATCAATATGGAAGCTATAATTAGAACGCAGCCAAATCAATTAGGACCTATGACAATAGCTAGGAGCCGTGTGCAAAGGACGGTTCACCTATAAAGGTACTCTCCCATAGACCAGCATTAACCCTGACGATGTCAGAAGTCTCTGACAAAAGCTTGGTGATTGGTGATGGTATTAAACATTTTCAGTTTATTATATTCCTGGTGCTCACGTTTTTATTGGTTATGAATTCACCCAGGAATCACGTTTTTATTTTCACTACTATTATATATATATATATATATATATATATATATATATATAATAGTAGTGAAAATATATATGAATAAAATAAATAATATGCGATCACCAGGAGAGTTTAAGTAAGAAAAATACTTTACTAAAAAGCTGCCAAGCTTTCGTTGGGAATTCCCAACATCGTCAGGGCTAAAAAGCCAGTTTAACAAGAATGACTTAAATAGGTTTGGCTGACATCTGCACCCGACTCCTAGACTGTGTTACCGGCCCCAGCTGGTCAATTAATGTTCCAGATGTTTCTTTGGTGTTACATTCTCTTCTGTCGTTCCTTCGTATCTTCCTACCTGCCCCTTTGTTATTAATTTTTAAGTCTATTGACACACTCGTATCACCCTCCCCTGCGGTGATATTTACTCCCATCACATCCCTCTTTCTGCTACGGGTCTCAGGGGCGTTTGATTCAGTGTTAATCCTCATTCCGTTAGGACTCCAGGTACTTTTCACCTCCTTTGATTGTGGATCGATGTTTTCTTCCTGTTTTGTATTCCCCTCTCCCTTAACCATATGAGTAACATTTATCCGGGCATTGTGCGTTCCGGTGCTTATGTTTCCACCCCCCACCATAAGCGTTCTCTACATCAACCGTTTTTCGTTGTTTAGTGTCCAGAGTAGATCCTTCACGCTCCTCCTGGGAAGGATCTAACTGCAAATGGGAGCGTTCTTCATTCATTGCTTCTCGTTTGTTCATGAAATGAGGGGGAGGAGTTTTTCTCCCCCCTTTACTGAATGAGCGAGTCGTCATTCCACATCTTCTCTTCCTCCTCCGTGTTGTACATCCCTCTTCGTTACCGCAAACAGCACTAAGCTCAGGGATTTCACCATTAGATCTTCCGGATTCCCTTTTATCATCGTCATTGTTTCTCTTCCACCTGAAAGGTGGGGATCTATCGGGACACTGTTGAAGAGTATACGAGTTGTCTACCCGGTGGATTTCCCCTCTTTTTTTCCAGAGGGAAATCCATCATCAATGCACGTCTATGTGTGTCCAACGGCGGGAGATTCCTCAGCTGTTCAGTATATAAAACTTAAATTCAGTCACATTTAAGTATCTAAAACATTTCATCCCTCTTAGAATGGTGTGTTTCAAATTTTTTCTATTTCTTTAACCATATTCAAACACGTTTCTTTTTTAAATATTCTCTCTGGTATGTCCCATCATCTTTTTTCTTAATCTCTTTTCTTTGCCCAGAATCTTTCTTGATCAATATACTTTGCTGGATCCAAAGGTTTTCCCATACGATCGTAGGTGTTCTTGTAGATGTAGAGAGTAAATCAATATCTCTGTCCTGAGCACTTGCCCTCTTCTTTCCATTAAAATCCCTTCTCTTGCCTTCCAATTTGTTTTGTGATGTTAAAGTGTAAGTTGTCTTTCCTTCCACTTGAATTAAATCATACTCTTCTATTTTGTGAAAGTCCATCTTTAAATCTTTTCCCTCTGATTTATATTCAATCATCTCTGTTGTGTTCTCCTGAGGATTTTTTTGAAGTGAACTTAAATTGGAGATAAGTTGACTTATACTTTCAAAGTTGTTTTGTTTTTCTTTGTGGTTTAAAATCATTGTCCTTTGAATGGATTGCAGCCTATCGTATATTTCCTCTTGTAAAACATCCATTGTTTTTGTAAATATCACTTTCTCTGAGCAGCTGTGTTTACTAAGATTTTGAAGGTCACGAACAAAAGCTTTATAGCTCCTCATCCAGAGGAGTTTCTGACCCTGTTGATTGAGGTGTCCTGCATTTGTTATATTCACATTACTTGTATTATCCTTGTTTGGTTTCAGAGTGCTCAGAACAATAAAATTGGGGTGGTTAAATATAATAAATATTTTAAGGTCAGCTCTATAAATTTTATTTTATTATTAGCCATCTTGAGCATTATTTTAATGAAAGACGAGGATAAAAAATAAGGAATAAATAATTCATGTTAAAGCTATTTGTATTGCTGTCAACGCTGCTAATATTGAATATTCTTGCTTTGACAATATATGCAGAACTGTCTCGTATTTTTAGAGTTAAATCAGGTGACAGCGAAAGGGGAGGAGAATATAAGGAAAGCCTGGGAAAAAGAAACGGAAGTAAATCTTTGCCCTCCAAGTTAATTGGAAGATGTGAATCATGACCCCAAAATAGGGGAGGGGAAATGCCCGGAATGTTATGTGCAAAGGAAGGGAAATTCAGATCTTAGCATTCCACCATGCTGACTCTCTGTAATACTAATAAAGGCTTTTTAGGTTAAAAAAATGCCTGAAAGTTCTTTGACGTGTTTCGTTAATCAGACACATGACAATTGCATCAGTGAAGGATAGAAACAAAACACTTTAAAAATGTTTTTGAGGATTGTTCCCCGCCACCGCCATCCCCCATCAATATAGAACAGGAATCAAAATACTAGACAATATTATAACTTCCTTCCATTTTTCTTGAGAGGCAGAAGTATTTAACACTACTGAAAAGAATCAGGTAGATTTTAAAGCAGCCTACATGGTCAATGGATTAAACTAGAAGCTGATCCTGATACAGGAGGGGGAGTAGCTTCAGTGACAGTGGTCAGGTTTTGATCCACAAGTTCTTTTCTTCTGGTTTTATCAGCAAGATCAAAAATTCCTCCCAAGAAAACTACAGTTTAATTTAGGGAATATTTATTATATAGGCAGTCTCTGGGTTAAGAACATCTGTCTTATAGACCACTTGTACTTATAAATGGACTGCCTATTAGTAAAAATGGAAGATAGCATTCTGTCTTCTAGTCAACATACACTGAAGCCAGGCAAGATTTTCATGAACTGCTGAAGCTGTGTGTTTTTAATACACAAACTGTTTTCAGCAGTTTTCATAAGTATAAGTTCCAACTTACATTGGAAATTTGATTTTAAGGCACACTTGCGAACACATCTCATTTTTAACTTGGGAATTGTCCTTACTGTTGTTTATGGAACTCAGGGTGACAAAACAAAAAAAATCCAGCACTGAAGAGCTGAGCATCAACCAGGTGTCCAGAACTGTCCCCGGTAGAGACTTTTTGGGACAGAGAATTATCTGTCCAGTTCTGAGCTAAAGTTTGGTTGCCAGGCCCAGATTGTTTGCCTGTTCTCCCTAGTTGCTTAGGATTTCAGAAGAGGTTCCCCCAGTCTAGATAGAAACCAAATTCATGCAGTGTTGAACAGATACAGTCAGAAGATTCTGAAGGGTCTTATTTTGGGGCATCAGCTGCTAGATATACACATAGCTTGCCAAAGCTTCTCTCCTGCAAACCAATGTGGAGGCTTCTAGAGCACGGCTTTTCAACCAGTGGTATGGTTACCACCTGTGGTACATTGGCACTTGGCAGGTGGTATGCAACCATCCTAGAAAAGTGGTAGCGGGGGAGGGGAATGAGCTGAACCGGTGGC